AAAAAAAAAAAAAAAAAAAAAAAAAAAAATGCCTTATAACCGAGTACTGTGTGGATGTACACGCTGGTACATGCTGTATACATAATCCGTCATTGTAAATTTTTTTTTTTTTTTTAAATGAATAGTCTCGGCGATCAAAGAGAGACTATACGAGTATATAATAATATAAGAAGTTAGCTAAGTTTGTTTAGTCTGTCGCTTTTCGTAAAGGTTTTCATTGTTTCAATATTATATATTACACTTATATCTATGTATTCAGTACTCAAAAAAAAAAAAAAAAAAAAAAACCATACACGGTTAAAAATTATGTAAATTTGATAAATTAGAGAAAATACGTTACGTTATTTTGTCTGGTGGTATTTGTTCAATATCCTATTACACACGTGAAATCGTCCTGCGTGCAGTTGCGCGCGCAAGCGGACCTCAAGACGAAATTAAACCGGGTGATTTATGCGCACGCGATTAACGCGGCATAAATCATAAGGCGTAAAAACTAAAATGAATTATCGTTTGAAACAAAAAAAAAAAAAAAAAAAAAAACATAACGGACGAGTAAAAACACTCTATACAGTTGTATTTTTAATTTCATCCGCCGCGGTTCGGATGTCTAAATCAAACCGACCCGAACGTCATTTCTTTTTTTAAATCATCTATTTTTAATATGCGCGTTATAAAGTTAGGAGGTGTATATTGTGATATTTGTATGCAGTAAATATAAAATAATGTGTAATTATCAAATGTTGGTAGTAACTATAGAACAGAAAGTTGGCGGTTGAGTTGTAAGTTCCTCTTATTTTTTTTTTTGATAACTTTTAAAGTTCCAACTCGAATAAGACAAATACAATGCTGGAAAACAACTTAGTTAATAATTTAATAATTATTTATTTAAACGAAAATATTGATTCAACTAGGTTATTTTGTTAAAATTTAAAGTTATTTACAAATATTTTGTGAAAAAAAAAAAAAATGAACTGCGTACGTAAATTTGATTAACATTTATTTATTGGCAAAAATCACGTACTTTCACGCGAATATCAATTAGCATGACGGGCACGTAACTTGTACGATACCCACACGGGACATGTGTGTCTTGTGTAATACTCGTATATGTCCACGACGTTTTAAACGTTCGTTTTTCAAAAAATTTTAAAATTAAAATTCAATTACACCCAGTTATTATTTTCCGAATGTGTGTAACTTATAACTTAGTTAATCAAATTCATTTACATTTTAAAATTAACTTGATTTTAGCTTATTTATTTTTTACTACAGGATAATTTAACTTACACGTATTTTAAACATTACTTTATTAACCCAGTGCCTTAGTACTTATTTATTATTTTTTCGTAAACGGGGGGTTTTTTTTTCCTTAGATTTCTGCGGTTTTATACAGTATTGAGTATAATCAGACAAAAATAATATTACTCGAGAAATATGCATTCGGATATTTTAATTTAATAAAAAAAAAATATACAATTTTATAGTATCATGCATATTGCATGTTAACTGTACATTATATTGCACGATAATTTATTTACACATTTAACTTTGTGGAGAATTCGCGATGGTTCTTCGCGGTGTGTATAATAAATCAAGCATCGTTCTCGCAGCATTCCTTATAAAATTCGCGTATGTGGGTATTTCGCCGAAATATTTCCTTAATATTATAAAACGTATTACGGCTCGCAGAAATATTTTGCAAATTACATTTGATATTGACGCGATTAGGAAATATTAAATTTTTCGAGTTGTTTATGTATAACGATATTTTACGATCACTGTATAATACGTGAAATGTGGACAACAACCAGCCAGACCGTAAGAGAGTTGAAAACGTTTGAGAACAGTATACGGAGGAGAATATGCGGCGCCAAATATATTTATGATAAAACGAAAAACAGCTGGTTAAGTAGGTACAACTGGGGGTCGCACGACACAGTCCACGTGGCACCAGTGACGAGTTAATATATTTTGTTGACAATGATGACAAAGGGTACAATGACTAGGGCTCTAGGCCGTATAATCAGATGAGGAGATAGAGATCCCACTACAATGGAAACCCCGGGGGGAAAAATCTCCGGCTTCACGGTAGGCCTAAGAAAAGGTAGATTGCTGTGGTTGAACCTTGTATTAAACAATACGGGTATGGATAGAAAAAGATAGTTCATGGATGAACTGATGGCGTGATATTGTGTCGTTTAACTATAGGACAGTTGTAATGGCCACAAGAAGGAAAACAAGTATAGTAATAATATATACACAATATTACTATCGAAAAACAGCGAATCGAATCGAAAAACTGTTCGTAACCTAGGTAACCCGAAAATCAAAATGCATAAAGTCCGAAATATTGTTGAGTGGGTCCCACGTACGGAAGTTTAAATGTAAAAAACTGTCCCCGTCTCCGTCCAAGTCTCTGCGCTCTACGCAGAAACCCGTGTGTCTTTCGGAAATTTATCTAGACGAATATTAGAAATATTTCAATTAGAGTACTCATCGGTCGGGAAATCCGCATGTTTTAAGACAATTGTGTACTGTATAGCGCCGAAACGTTCTAAAAAGTATGTTGTCCGTTAGACATTGCGAGGTCTCGTTTCAATTTGTTTATAATTTCTATTCGAAACAAATCGGATTTTGAATTTGTTTAACAGAACTAATTTTTCGGGGGAAGGGAGGAGAAGAGGGGACGTGGAAATCAGTAAACACAATCGAAAAAGTGATTTTCAGAGCCTTTTTCACCCTGTCTAATCTCATATTCGGTCGCGGTTTTAATCGGACCTCGATTTTGATTGGCGGACACGCGTGACGCGTCGTCTCCAGTCTGTGCCGCAGACCGTCGCCGCTGTACGTCGGTTTCGGCGCGTGGGAAGACAGTAAAAACGTCGTATTTTTTTTCTACATTATTAGATACTTTTAATATTTTCATTGTTATTGTCCCAGTGTCGGAATTATTAATATCGCGTTGGCTGCCCCGGCGACAAAAAAAAAAAAAAAAAAAAAACCAACGCCGTATAACTTATTACATACCTACCCGTAAACGAGTTATTGATGTGTACGACGGCGCGATGACTGGACGACGGCCGGACAAACGTTCACTCGTTTTCGTATTGTAATAGTATAATATTTGTCTTATTGTACAAATTGAGTACGTTTCTTCTCCCCCCCCCCCCCGCTGACGCCGCCGACCTTTCACCGTTTTTCAATTGTCCATAAACGCACCCGCCGCGGTGCGTTGCAATGTAATAATGTAATTTTTATACATTTTTTTTTTTTTTTTTTCCCATGTCCGTTCAACCGTTCCCCGATAAATCCAAACGCGAAAACGACGGCGCGGGAAATGTTAACGGCAATAGGTAATGATAATGAATTGAGAATATATCATCGTGAAATAGGCAATGACGTAACGCGTACATGTGTGTGTGTGCGTGTGTGCGTGTGTGCGTGTGTGCGTGTGCGTGATGAAGTTCAAAAGGTCATGACGGATGGCTGTGTGCGCGCGATAACGATTCAACGACCACGGCGACAGGTGTGCCAACTATACGTTCGTACTAGATAAACGTTTCCGGTCTGCGTTTTTATTATTATTATTTTTTAATGTTTTCATTCGTTTCGTATCAATCGCGTGTAAATACCCGTAAACATAGGCGTAGCTAGCAGGCGATTTTCGCAGGAGACGCAAACGAAATTCCCATACCCGACCCGCCCGGACGGAATTTCTCCGAAAAAAAAAAAAAAAAAAATAATAATAATAATAATAACAAAATAAAATAAAATAATGATAAAACCCCGCCGGGCAAGGTTCACGTGACGTTGACTATACCGTTTTCCGAAAACCGCGATTGAAAAAAAAATCGCGGTTCTATTGCTGTATCAGAGTCGTTTCAGTTAACGGTGCACACCGCGTTTGATAAAACATTAAAGAGATCGTCTTAGCGATGTCTATTTAAACACATAGTTTTAACGTCTGCGGTAACGTTAAATGCGAGTTTCCGTAATACCGGTAACGTTACGTCAACCTAAAATGGAACTCGTATAAATTTACAAAAAAAAAAAAAAAAAAAAAAAACCAAACATTCTTTAGACACTAACCGTGGACGACACAATTTATACGAAAATGCAACAGAAAAATTTATCTTCGTCGTGAGATTCGATCCACTGACATTACATTCGCTCGTTCCTGTAACATAATATTATAATAATATATGTAAACAGATTCGTCGGGACTCATACACTATTATTATCGCTGTCTGATATACTCGAAATCCATAAGGCATAATTTTTAAAAAAAAAAAAAAAAAAACAAAATGATGTACCCCCTACCTCCCGCTGGTTTTTGAAAATGTATAATTGTTATTAAAACACGATATTTCGATTCAAACGATATAGTAATTTAATATTGGTTTTTCATAAAAAAAAAAACAAAAAAAACCAAATAACCATAAAGGACTATGTTTATAAGTTCAGTTTCATCCACTTTCGGTTTAGCGTATAACTTATATTATAAGTAATTATAATATTTGGTGTCGCGACAATTTTGTTTTATTCGCATTTAAACCTCGCCGAAGGGGTGAAAGTGAAATATAATTTTAATTTCAACACCTCCGCTCCGTAAGCCACTTATTAAAAGCAAACACCCCGAGATATTTATCTCGTTCGGTATTATATCGTAATCCGTCTTGTGTGCCGTATCCACACAGAGTGTATTTATAATACACCTGTTGCCGGCAAATCGCTTATTATATTATTTTACTTGCGCGTGGTTTGTTTACGATCTATCGGCGCAAAACGGGGAACGGGCTTGGGGAGGTTTAGCCCACAATTCCCCCAAAAACAAACACAGCCGAACCCCCAAAATCAAGTCGCCATCAGGTAAATACTGGTTACCGTTATACGCAATCTAATATTAAATGGTGGCTCGAAATATTTAGGGCCTTTTCGTCGCGAGCGTTTTCTAGTGCTATTGAACTTTGGACGAAAATAAAAAAAAAAAAAAAAAACCGATATTTACTACGTTGTAGATAATACAATAGTTCTGCGATTTTCAATATCTATACAAATATTATCAATAATTTGTTTCGTAATAAATTTCACGTTCGAAATCCAATTTATAGGACCCCGTTTTAATTGAAAGCGATAAAAATGTACATATAATTAAATCGGTTTCCGTTATTGGCATAATAATCGTGCCTCTATATATTATAATATTGAACCTTTTTACGTAGGTACGAAATCAGTTGCAATAATCATAATTGTAAAAAAAAATATCCCGTTAATGCGTTACTTTACTAATTTCCATAATTTAATGGGCACGCGAAAAATAATATTAAGTGCTTTTAGATTTCGAGTATAGCGAAGAAAAGCTGGTTGGTTTTATTAAGATGGTTATTTATTCACCTTAATTTTTTTGTTCTCGATTAGTAAAAATGCTCAGATTTTTTCATGGCGTATATTCAATTATACGGATTTTTATTCCGGTGTTACTCTATTCGAAACATTTGTCTAAAAAACCCGAAGTGAATCGTTTTCATTAGTTAATTACTGCAGGTTTACCTTTGTTACACGAGAAAAAACTACGACTAATTATTTAACCATCCCAGTTTACCGAGTACCGCTCAGAATCGGTATAAACTGCGTTAGTCTCTTAGATAGATATCCGATGCGCTTTCCTAAATTCCTACCTACAACGGTGGCCCACCTATGGTGCAAAATTTGTCAAAGTTTTAATCGCAACAAACTGGTTCGCCTAAATTAATAAGGTTTTTTTTATTAATTTTAATTCCGATTAATAATACGAACATCCATACCGCAGAAGAATAACAATTGTTGACGATCATTTTTTTTTTTAGTTTCTAGTACCATACACTACAAGTAATATATAGATACATTGTACAAACACTCGCGTAAAACTATGAAAAACCTTTACGTGGCTGTTGAAAATATTTTTCAAAATGTGTTTGTAAATAAAATTACCTCAATATCGTGTATTGGAGTACGTGTTATTTACGTTGGTTTAGTCGGAAGTCGAGTGCAAAACTGTTTGTCACGTCACGTAAAAATATCCCGCTTGTTTAAAATTCACGGGACAAAAACTGCAGAATTAAGTATCTGATTTACGTATTAAGTATAGGTATTTTCGGTTGTTCTATATATATATAAAAAAAAGCGTTTATTTTTTACGATCGCCTATAGTAAATACAGTAACGCCTTTACCTGGGAAAGATAGGCAAACAACGATCCACGCGAGAGTTGATGAGTTGAGACGTTCGGTACAATCGCCTTGCGTTTAGAATGTGAACAGCGTAATGATATTATAGAACCCGTATTTCGTTGACATTTTAATGATCGTTGACTCGTATTCCAAGGACGTACTCACAAAAATCAACCCAGAAAACAACTGAAACTATTCATTAATAGGAATCGTACGCATATGCATATTAGGGTGCCCGTTATTTTTGAAGTTAATAATTTTAAAAAGTGCCGGCCGGAAATTTGTTCCAATACACCTGAAGTAGTTGGAGTGTCCATGACTAGACAATTGAGTTTTCTCTCTTTATCTTTTCCTATTCGTTGTAAATGTTTTTTTCCTACTTCGTATCTATATTTATCTACTCCAGTCATGTAACCCGCACGTCCTTTTTCACGTTGCTTAGCCAAAAATTGTTTACCTTCATACATTTTATTCAACATCAACGCGTTGACTTACTAAATACTTCGTATTAAAGCCTTTCAGTTACAGCTTACATTTATGAGGTTCTTGTGTAGGAATCCTTGATCTTTTTCCAGAATATTAAACATTACCTAATAATCAATGTTGCGCTTGTATTAAAGTCTAGTTTAACGCATGTGGCAAAACAAAACACGCAAGCAATCACTATCAGATGGTAACTTATACTGCCTGTTATTTGATGTTTAAAATGCTCAACAAGATAAATCTTTTTTACGGACCAATGACATTTTTATTTTTATTTGGTTTAAGAAAAAAATTACAATTTAACGAAATTAAAACCGTGCAGCACACACACTGAGTTGTGTGCTAATACTGCAAGTTGGTATACTATTAAACTCGTACGATAGAAATTAGACGGATTGAAGATTGGTCGATAGCTGTGATCGGATATTATGTGATATTTATAACAACACGTTTATAGTTTTATAACCTGGCCTAACCGAAGTATAAATGAACAGTTATTTAGGAAATAATCAGCTTTACAATAAAGATTTCATATCATTTTTCGTGATATTAAGATTTAAAGAAGTATACGTTAAAAAACGAAAAAGAAAAAAATCACTATTTCATAAAACTTTGAGTTTGAAGCACGTCCCGTTAATTAAGTCCAATCGAGCTCAAATTTTAAAGGCTTTTTTTTTTAGATTTATTCAAAAAAATTTCTGGTCTGCACCCCATAAAATTAAGAACAAAATTGTCTTTCTATACAAATAACGGGCGCCCTAATGTATATATTTATTATATAGGTACGAGTATTATTATAAAACGACAACATTTTCACTGCTGTAAAGGTCTACGGGGACGCATTGCCCGCTGTAGTAGGAATATAAATTTGTTTTTTTTTCTTTGTCGTGTCGGAGGGGTGAACTCCGATGTACTTACGTAAAACTGGGTCGTTACACCACTAACCCACACGCGGGTTACCGTGGTATAGTCGTCATCATCATCGATATCTCACGTGGTGTATTTACGCGTATTATACTTAGGAGGGGGAGGGAGTGGTACGATGGGATCGCCGTGCATATTAAAACAGTCGACTTTGTATAATAATATAATATAGACGTGATGCGAATTTCGTGTTTGCAGGCCACTGTAACGATCGGTCACGCGTTCACAAAAATAAAACAAAAAACAACAACAACAATATCGTCATCAGTAAAGTATATAATAATCATACGCGATCGATCTCTCGTACGGTTGCAATCGATGAACAGAAAAAAACATTTTATTTATCGTCAGTAGTTATTATTAAAAAATACTATATTTCTGTGTAATAAGTGCACTATCGAATTTGCACATCCAAAGCCAAATAACTTTAGACGAACCAATTTTTCGGGGGGAGTTTCGAATAAAATCGTCTATTTTTTTTGTTGTTACGTGCATAATAAGAGTTTTTTTTTTTGAATAATATAATAAACAATACATTTAGAAAAATGTCAAGGGAAGGAAGAATTGTACCCGCAAAATCCTTCCTTAAGCTTCGATTACATCTAGTATTATTCTACTTGTATTAATTGTACTTGAATTGGAAATAAATTAAGAGGGTAGGGAACGCTAGAGTGTTTCCAAAAAACAAACGGTGTTCCATGTTCTCACATTCTCCTCGTATTTAAACACTGCTTGACCATGGTTCAATTTTTAACGTCTGACTAGGTATCTTTAAAAATAAATCAATGTAGTTATCAGACACGTATTTGAGATGGGGCAATGGAGACAATCGCCATTCCCCTATCTACGCCAAAGCCCGTTTTACACTTAATTTTCGTTAGAAATGATAAACGATTTTGAATGGATTACGGTGAACGTCTATACAATAATAAATTGGTAGTGTAAACTATGGTATTGTACTGAATTTTTTTTTTTTTTACCACTTATTGCGGTTACAGCAAATCGCCAGAAAATTGATAAGGCGACTGTCGCAATAGTTCCCTGTTACCGATTGTATTATAATACCGTGATTTCGTAGTATTATTATAACACTATCGTGCAGTATAGGCTCGTGGCGGCCCATCACGCGACTTTTTTTTTTTATCGAAAAGACGACTTACACTTTCAACGATCAAAGTTTTTATATATTTTTAGGACGCTAAAACTTTCACAGCCAACGCGGTCGAGCTAAGACGCGTGGCGGGATTTTTTTCTCTCCTGACGTCGGTGTTTCTACAGAACGTCGTAGCGACAATTGCCCATTATCATTTATCCAGCAACCGTACCTTATACATCATTATGCTCCGATTATTATGAGACCGAACGAAATAGCTCGTAATTACCTGTAAGTAAGTTGATGACGACAGCCGAGCGGACAATTTTCATTTGTAAATTTATTCGGTAAGTCCGACGAAAAATTATTTATATTCTCCGTATACGTTTCTCCACGACTGTACGCTATACATCTATATACACACGCGTACTTGTATATTATATATATATATATATATATATATACTATATAGGTGTCGTATAATATATAGACGGAGGGAAAGGAGAAAAAGAGACAGACAGAGAATAAGCACCCGGTTATACTATTGGTTTGTATGCAAGGCACGTAGATCGCCGGCGTCGTTATTGTGCTACTCGAAGCTCCACCCTTCCGCCCCTATATTTATATACATGTATACGTTCTCCTCAAACCCTACCGGCGGACTTTGCAAACAACCGAGCTTTGGCGCTGCGCAGTTCCGTATTTGTACGCTTGTATTTTAGTTTTAAAAAAACCAAAAAGAATTAAACGAACAATTGTCAACGTTACGTGTCTGTCGACGAAACTAAACAAAACACCATAATAGCCGCACCGGAGGAACTCTCGGCGAAGATGTCACACGGGCCAATAAGTGTATATTTTGTGAAGGGGTTGAGTATAGGCAATTTCTACGGAATCCGTTTGAAAAATTATAATTTCAAACCAATTGTTCAGTGTAAAAACCGTGAAATTCGTTCCTCCGGAAAATACCCTATCCGAATAGCTAATAAAACAATAACTAACCCGTCATGAAAATATTTAAGAGAACAAAATTGACTGATATTAACAATAATTTATTATCTGTAGTTATTGATTTTTCAATTTACTCGGATTAGGCGGTGTGACAAAAAAAAGCCTAAAACCCGTGATAAAAACGTGTTTTTAAAGTTTTCAGATGAAACCATTTTTTCGCCCGAGGTTTATTAATGTTCAAAAACGCACACTCCTCGAACGAAAATATTTTCATAATAGAAACCGATAATGTAATCGAATTACCCAAAAACCAAGTGGAAAAATGTCTTATTCGTACACGGTTTACAATATTATAGCTAAACAGTTATAATTATTTATATGAATATTTTGTGAACATAATCCACTAAAATAAATATTACCGAGCTCGTATTAAATGTAATCTTTATTTTTATAATATACGAGTTAATTTTTTTTTATTTTTTTTTTTTTTTGTTTCGTGTTGGATTAGACGGACGAGTTTTTATACTCCTATAATGGAATTGTCCGAATGGTCATAAAAACGACAACGGCATTTCGGCTTAAGAGCGTTGCACATTTCTTCGGTCGTTCAAACGATTTTTTTTTCATCCCACATTTCAAGCTTTTGTCTTTTTATCCGTCGGATATGGTGCGAGCTCACGGACGCCCGCAGTGTTATCGCTAATAAAAAAAAATAAAAGTCGCCTGCAATAATTCATAGATCCATTTTCAACGAGTATTTTTTTTTTTTTTTTTTATCTCGCTGACCAAGGGTGATATTCCCCTTTTTTTTATATCTAAAGAAATTGAATTTAGCTCATAAATTCCTCCAGCAAAGTACACGCGTAGGTACCTATACGGCCGTCTACCCTCGGGTCCGACAATATTTACAACCTTTCTAGTTTCTATACGTTAGTCTTATTATCAGCGCGGCGGTTTAATCGAGAAATCAAATTCCAACACCGAAATCGGGATATACTACACTATATAAGTACGCATCTCAGTATTATAATTATTTGAACAATTATTTAGACCAAACTCTGAGAATTTAAAATTTGAATTTTTCCATTTTTTTATAATCCGTTTTTCTATTATTATGTTTTATTTTTGCGATTTTTCGAAGGATTTTATCGAGCGATATTTTTAAAATTGTCCCATGTAAATAATAACAGCCAGAAGTCTATACTTCTATGGAGTTAGGTTTTTTTTTTAGATTCTTAGTATTAAGTACTATACAGATATTAATTTTACAGCGTTAAGTATTTTTTTTTTCTTTTTTGAAAAGTTCTTTTACGGTAAATAAAAATGATCTTGATTTTTCATGTTAAAAACTAAAAAATATGAATTTTTCTCCCAACGGTATAGTATATATTTGAAACATTTTTCGAAATTCCCGGTATTTTTTTTAGTAAAATAGCTTATTTATTTATTTTTTTTAACATTTTTGGTTGTGTAAATATTCAGATTTTTCACGCAGATCTTGAAAAATGATGAATTTCTCCAGTGGTATTTCGACCATTCAATTACTTATCTAGATAAATATAATAGAAAATTACTAAATTAGTTGTCTAAAAGAAAACAAAAAGTATTTAACAACAGTTTAAACGTTCAGAAAAAGATATACACGAGTAATTACTAATTATCAACTTTATACGTAGTTACAACTAATGTTCATCAATACCTATCATAGAACTCTGAGCTAAATTCGCACCAGATGATGTGGTATCTATACATTTATAGATTTCAGAAAATTGGCGCGATTAATAAAACAGTAATAATACAATTATAAACTATAGTATTGTACGTTAAACAATTCGTATCGGTTATTTCTAATTTAAAAAGATTTACGTATCTAGGTAATTTAATTATCTCACACGACGTCAACGGATGCATTTCATTTTTCATTTATCTGGACAAAAGAAATAATATCCTACCTATCTATAGATAATCGTATTTGTTTCAAAAGAAAACAACACTGTTTATAAACGGGAACACGCTAAAGATTCTTTAGCGTCATTTTGGTACGATATCGATTTTTCATCAAATTTATTGGGTCGTACATAACCTATAATAATATTATGGCGATGTCGTTATTTTGGTTGTGCTTTTTTCGACCGCATACAATTATTATTATCGTTTCCTTATAAATCATTATTGTGTTTGGTACAAAAAACGTACGTATACCGTATAACGTTTGTGAGTTATTTCGAATACGATAATATCATGTATTATAATTTACTATTCCGATAAAAAAAACAAGACAA